TCTGAGGGAGAAAGAGGAAGAGTTGTAACGCTTGGATCCTGTTTTGTAAGGAAGTTTGGCTCTTTGTAAGTGCTGTAACACTTATACCCTGCTGTGCAAGGAGGTTTGGCTCTTTGTAAGAGCTGTAGCACTTGCATCCTGCCCTGCAAGGAGGTTTGGCTCTTTGTAAGAGCTGTGACACTTTAAAACCTATTTTATCCTGCTCTGCAGGTTTGGCTCTTTGTAAGAGCTGTATAATACCTCTGTAAGTAAAACCTAACTTATTGTCCATCTTGTGGTCCATCGATTCATTCATTGAATCGTTGAGCCCAAGAGCCTGGAAATCCAAAGTCAAAAATCTGGTATCACTAGTACACATGTCCGGTGAACAAAAAATGGTGGACAAATCCCTGGTCAGGGTAGGAATTGTAGTATTATAATGAGCTAGGCATTAATATTGTTCACCCTTTCAGCCTCATCCACAGGCTTAGTGGTCCGTAGGCATAATCTATGGTAGCATATGGCTCATCTTGTCATCTTACCTTTCTCTGGACAAATGGGTAGTGAAAAATGTTGAAGTTATCTCAGGGCTGCAAGGAGGTTCTGCTGCTCCTGAGAAAATCTCAAACACAATCTTGTCAGTGAACAGAAAGTTACAAGATTCTGCTCAGCAATTCTTACTGAGAGCTCTGTCTCTTTTTTTCTCTGAGACTGCAGCTGCTGGGCTACTGGTGCTGAGCTAGTGCTCACTGTTACAGTCCTGTTGATTCAAGGCCACCTCACTGACTACTTTCGTTCTGAAGTGAAAATTGAAAACTACTTTGGAATATGAGGGAGATAAGACACTTGAGAATTATGAAATTTGGGTTTATACAGCTGATTATATTACGAACTAATGTATCAGTGTTCCACTGATTTCCCTGGTATCCAGCAAGGTGGATGTCATAATAAGCCAGTTGTACCATGAGGAGTCAGGCACCTAAGGGGACAAACTGCCTATGTCCCAGAGGACTCACACTTAGGCTTCTCACTCTCAAACCTGAGGCCTCAATCCTGAATGTACCAGGTACTGATGTTGATGATGATGATAATATATAGCAATTTCCAAGAACAGTGAGCCAGGATAGAGCTTCCCTTATATTAACATATTTTCTCAGGCAAATGAACAAACTAAGGGACTAAGAGTGAAGTGACTCACCCAACCAAGTCCATAAACAATGGAGTTGGTTTGAGACCCAAATCATGTGTGCTTCTAGTAAAGATAGTGAAGACAACAAAATACCTGCTGAATGTAGACCATATTTAATGGAAAAAAAAAAAAGAAATAGTGAACATGGGCAGTCCTTCAAAGGTATTCAGAATACCATTCCATTGTCATTTGTGTTATTGAATTATTTTAATGTTACATGCTATTTTAAAGACTATAAGAACATGTGGTATGATTTAAGGATAAGTCATATCCTTAATTTGCCACAAGGTGAGAGAATGATGTCAAGGTGGCCCCATAGTAGCACTGACCAGATGTCTAGATGGAATCTAAAAATAATCACTTGAGCCTTTTCATTCATTTATAGATTTCTTTTTCCTGTGAAGACAGATCAGCAAGCCAAAGGAAAATGAGTAGAAACATAAATGTCTGAGATACAGTTGTAAATGTCTGAGTGCAGTGCCTGAGGTATTAATTATTTGGTAAATCAAGAGAGACTCCTGGTGAGAGCTGTGCCTGGAGAACTCACAGAAGAACAGTAAGTTGGGTGATGATTGCTACAGAGCTCCCTGCCTGAAGGAATAGCAGCTACAGACTTGGAAGACACCTGCTCCAAGGGCCCCTCTCCATTCTCAACATTCAGCTAACTCTAAGTAAGACAATGAATACCCAGGGGCCACAGCCCAGAAATAAGAGGGCTGAGATTCAAACTCCAATGGAAAAATAAAAAGATCAATTCACTTAAGAGCTGAACAATCCATTATGGGCATATACAAAGCTGAACGTTTTAGTGAAATCTGTTGGAACTTAGAGGCAATTCACTGAGTACAGCTCTGTATGCTCAGGGTGTGGATGTACTTCTATATTCAGAGGCACTCAACCATCACCAGGGAAGCCATAACAAAGCCCGGATTACAGAGAGGTAATTTTGGGGGGTAGGGTTCTCATTAACTTCTGAACATAAATAATTAGCATTTTGAAGTGACAATATGTCACCTTATGATACCAAATGATGCTGTGTTATACAAGAAGCTCCACAGTGGCATGAATTCTGGTTGTACCACATGTAATTGCCCAAAGAGACCAATTCACTAAAACAAACAGCTACTGAACATCTTTCCTGCTGCAAATTATATGCATTAGAAATTAGCAAATGAATATGGCAGGTTTTCTTAACATAAAAGATAGCATGTATTGATAATGATAGTATCTGCTGTTGCCTTTATTTTGTCATTTTTATCATACTTAATTATAGTTAATATATCAAGTGCTTACAAATTGCTAGGCACCATGCTGAATGAATGTAGCACATATCACATATTGTTGTCTGACAAATATCCTTATGTTAAATTCATAAATTCAGTGCCAACGAGAGAGGTTTCAAAGGCTTTCCTATAACCCGAATATCACTACCTAATTCATTAACTTATCTTGTCTCTTTAGGGTTTTTTCACAGGACTTTCCTGATCTCTCATACAGTCTCTCCTTAATTCTACTTGTACTGAGGAAGTAGAAGCCATCAAAAAAGGAGCTCACTTGTCTCACGTGTGCTCTGACCTACCTTTTACTATGGTTAGTGAACTGGCCATGCTCGTGCAAAATGTTAGCCTCCTCACTTTCACACTGGTTTTTATGCTTTCTGCCACTTTTGGAGGCCAACTTTCTGGAAGTTTCCTTCTTTTCTCATTCATTATCAATTCTCTCTTTGTACTGAATTATTCCCTTGAATAGGTAAACATCTTAGTATCCAATATCAACAGCAACGTCAACTCTGCTTTAATATCACATGTCCTTCTAGCTACACTTAATTATTTTGCTCCTCCTTCCAAAAAATCCCTAAAATTTTATACTCAATTCATCTTATCTTCTTCTTCTCCCTTTATTTATTTATTTTTTATTTTTATTAAATCATAGTTGTGTACATTAATGCAATTATGGGGTACAATGTGTTGGTTTTATATTTCATTTGCAATATTTTCATCAAACTGGTTAACTTAGCCTTCACTGCATTTTCTTAGTTATTGTGTTAGGACATTTATACTCTACACTTAACTATAGCCTCTCCCTTTATTTTGCCATGAATCCTCCACTGAAGCCTATCTCCACTGAAATTCTCTTACTGTCATAAGTGATCTCCATGTTGCCAAATACAATGACCACATTTTACTTCTCATTTTAATCCAAGCACAAATGCACTTTTGTAAGTGAATATATCTTCTTTCCTTTAACACTTTCTTTACCTATGTTTTGAATATTATTTCTTCTTATCTCCTCAAAACCTATCTGTTTTCACGTTTACTTTTTATTCAACCCCAACTGAGGTCATGTCTTAGTCTAAAACCCTTCCTCTTAAGTAACTAATTTCAAATAACCTTGAATCTTTAAATGTTTTATTCTTTGAAGAATGCCAGATTTATCCTTTGAGTTCAGAACTCTAATTTGAATTCCAGTTGGCTTGCCATATGACTTAAATATCTGCTAGGCATTTGAAAATTATTTAAATAACTGAATTCCTTTTGTTTTGCGACAGAGTCTCACTCTGTTTCCCTTGGTAGAGTGCCATGGTGTAATAATACTTCCCAGCAACCTGAAACTCTTGGGTTCAGGTGATCACTAGCTGGCACTACAGGTGCCTGCCACCATAC